CTCACAAATAAACCTACCCAAAAGGTACACTCCGATTTCTTTCTAATTTGGCAGAAATGTAGAAGTGCAAAAAATAGCGTTTCTGGTTTGCTGATTATGAATATATATGAAGTCAAATGTGTAAAATTATTTGTATAAATAATAAAATGTTTAAACAGGACATGTAAAAAGTTGAAAAAAATTATTTATACAAATAATTTCTCGGTTTGGCTGAGATTTGAACCATTTTTGACTAATTTAGATTACAGATTGGAAATATTTTGGAATCTCGTCTAAGGAAATTTAGAATGGTTCGTGTCTCAGCTATGCCGATTTTGTAAAAATTATTTAACTATATCTTGTATTCAATTTTATTTCTTATGCATTTTTGTTGCACTTGATGATAGGAGTGAGAACATTAAAAAGCTATAAACTCGTAAAACTCAAAGTAGGCCAAAATGAAAAAATATGGCCTAAATATTTTTCGTACTCCTATATTTGTGTCAAATTAGAAAGAAATCGGAGTGTAACTTTTGAGTAAGTTTACTTGTCAGTCCTCTCGCGCTCTTGTCTCTCCCCGACTCGTTCGATTCGTTTCGAGTACGTTGGTTTCGTTTTCTCCCTTTTTTTTTTATGCGGGGGAGATAGCAAGACGCGCGGCTGGAAAAAGCAGATTTCTCGTGCGAGCTTCTGCGCGAGCGTATCGCGAAACCGGCGTAATCGCGAGTCGCGTAATCGAGTCGTCGATAGCACGTGGCACGTTCTCCTCGGGCAAACTTCGCGGATCCGCGAACAACAATCCACTCCAGTCGTTCGTGCAGAAAATGGACAGAGATTACACTTCTCTCTTTGTGTCACGCTCGAAATTATTCAGCAGAGTGAGACGCGAGTTCTCACCTGCGCGCTGAGATGAGAACGCGGGGCAAAGTTGAGGGTTGCGCCGCAAATACATGTATACGACGCGCGATCAACAAGTGCTTCTATTTTGAGATCTGCGCTGCACAGTGAGGACAAATAGAAATTTACTATTCAAAAATCGCTGGAGACCATAATTTTATAGCAATCGGGATGATTTTTTTTTTATTTAACGTTAATCAATGTAGAAAAAGACTGTCGAGCTCGATTTTTTTTTAATCTTTCTAAATGTTGCAGTATTAATAAGAATTAAGTTCGTATTCAGCAGTCTAAACATAATATACTTTACTGTGACACGTTTCGTGCTACAGAAACATTTTTTTTATATCGGTTATGGGATTGATAGACAGCTGTTAAATGCCAGATTTTAATACTGACTTCACATTTATGTTGAACGACTTAGTATATTGCAATGTATATTCTGTGTTAAAACATAATGATTTTGTTTATTATATGACAGGATTATATGACAGGAAATTAGCAGTTGTCAACTGTCAAATTTTGATTTTTGTATCAGATTCGTAATCAGCGATGCTGAAAATCTTAGTACACTGTACTGTGCGGCGAAAAGATAGAAATTTTTCCAATTGGAAAAGTAACTTGCAAAACTTGATAATTTTTGACAAAGTGTTATTAGTATTGCAACATTTAGAAGAATAAAAAAAATCGGGCTCGACAGTTTTTTTCTACATTGATTAAGATTTAATTAAAAAAAATTATCCCGATTGCTATAAAATTATGGTCTCTAGCGATTTTTGGACACTAAATTTCTATTTGTCTCCACGGTGCGTCGTCTGTAGAAACAATCGGTCAAGTATATCAAGATAGTACAAAATATTTGCAATATTTTTTTATCGAACAATTCTATACAAACACGGAGAAAAATAATTTGCTGGCCCAGCAAATTTTCTGCAAAATCTTTTCCTTATTATATGGACAGAAAAAAGATCAAAAAGATTTGCTAAGAGTATTAATCACTATTTGGTGGATATAATTTGCTGAATCTACAAATTATTTTGCTATAAGAACCATGACGGATTTATATAAACAGTCGCAGTTTTGTTCCGATAATAAATTTGCTAAGGATACATTATTTTGCATCAAATAGCAAATTAACGTGATTCTCAGGGCAAATACACTCAACAAATTTTTCCTGGCAACGAAACTACTTCTGCTCTAATAACGAACAATTTGTAAAATTAATTACGTCAACTAAACCTTTTTGCTGTCACTACAAATATGCAGTAGTAGCAACGACGATTTTGCTAAAAGAGCAAAATTATTTTTCTCTGTAAAGGCTCTACGCAACATACAACTTTAATTAAACACATCTTTGGCCAGTAAGAGTCGAGGTTCAGATATTAGAGTAAATATTAAATGTTGGGAAATGTTGGTGTAAATATTAAATGTTACAATGTTTTACAGTATTAACGCACGCGCTGCGTTAGTAATCAATTTTTCAATCTTTAGTAATCAATTTTTCAATCTTTAAAATATACGATCAAATTTTCCACGTCAAACCAACCCCGAATCCTAGTCTATAATATTAATTAACCCGCTTTTTTTACATTACTCATGTTTAAGCATTTTTTTATTCTATTTTAAACACTAACACAAACATTATTATCCTCTCAGCATTAAATATTTACCAACATCTGAGCCTGGCTAAAGATATATTTAATTGTTTTCATCGATTTTTCCCGGAGCGAGTCTAGGAATTTAATTAGAGGGTGAATAAGACATTTTCGCAAGATGTCTGGATACCAACTCGGTCATTTTATTCGTGAAAATTGTTCATTCTTCGAAATCAGATCTGGTTTGCTATTTCATTTGACAGACTTTTCGCACCATATTGCGACCCAACAGAACCCACAATCCGTCCTTTCTCTCTCTCTCACTCTTGTCGTTGGCTAATTAAACTTGAAAATATGTAAAAGCGGGAACGAGTCTCGCTCGCCGTGACTTTTCCTTTTCCAAGCAATCGATCTCCGAGTCTGCGGGCGGTGAAACGAGAGATTTTTTAATCGCGAGAATGTCAGAGCTCCGAATGCGATCTCTATTCGTTTGGTGCACGAAGACATGTTCTCCTCGCGTGTCGCGCTCGATCTGAACGAAGTTTCGCAACTGTGTGCCACGGATTACAATGTAGAAATAGAATGTGGCACGTGGGCTATAATCGAGTGTAGAAAAGAAAAATAGGAATATGCCACTCTTGCGCGCGGCGATGTGGTGATGTAGAGGAAATCGGGGCTAGATGCTCTGAGATTTCAAAGTTACAACTTTTCAGGTAACTAATTGTTATGATTGACTGTATAAACACGATAGAAGCAACCTTGATGCGCGCAATCTTGTTAGCCGTTTATTTTGTTTGTACACGGAGAGAATATTGTAGCGAAAATAACGATACAATTTCAGTACTCCGGGCATAGGTTGAAACTATGATGAAAATTATAATAAATCGTAATAAACGTGACTATGAACATAATAAAAATTACCATAAATGTAATAAAAATTATCATGGTCATTTTTACTGTTTTATTATAATTTTCGTAATAGTGCCAGTCTATTCCCGGACTACTAAAATTGTAATTTTTGCTGCAACATTCTCTTCGTAATAACCAATATTCAATAGTCTCTTCGTAATAACCAATAAGAGTAACAGAGCCATCTTGTCCCGTCTTCAGATACCCAATAACGCAAGGTAAAGGAAGCTACGTACAAAATATGTATTCTGATGAATAATTCCAGAGTTTTCGCGAAAAATTTCCACAATCCTCCTGCCGGTCCTTAATTATGAGTCAACTTTACCTTGCCTATATTTTCTGTTTCAATTATTTTATGAATGAAAATTGCATTTATTGCCAGAAACAGTACACTTGCAAGAAATTTTATTCTAGCCAGTGACACATCGCTTAATTTTATTCACATGAGAAAAATAACTTTGCTCTTTTAAGAAAATCGTCATTGCTACTGCATATTCGTAGTCATCAAAAAAATTTAGTTGACGTAACTAATTTTATAAATTATTCGTTATCAGAGCAGAAGTAATTTCGTTGCCAGGATAGAAAACATTTATTGAGTGTATTTGCCCTAAAAATCACGTTAATTTGCTATTGATGTAAAATTATGTATCCTTAGCAAATTTATTTATTTGCTATCGGGGCAAAACTGTAACTGCTTATATAAATCCATCATGGTTCTTATAGCAAAATAATTTGTAGATTCAGCAAACTATATCCAGCAAATAGTGATTAGTACTCTTAGCAAATGTTTTTGCTGCCTATATAATAACGAAAAGATTTTGCTAGACCAGCAGAAAATTTGCTGGGCTAGCAAATTATTTTTCTCCGTGCAGTCACGATGGAGAATATTAATACAAAATTTCCAGATTTTCGAAAATTTGCTTTCATCAAATCAGTTTTTTCTATTTTTTAAATATGATATAATTTGTAGATTCAGCAAATTATATCCAGCAAATAGTGATTAGTATTCTTAGCAAGTTTTTTTGCTGTCCATAATAACAAAAAAATTTTGCTAAATCAGCAAATTTTCTGGGCCAGCAAATTATTTTTCTCCATGCAATCACGATGGAGAATATTAATACAAAATTTCGAAAATTTACTTTTATCAAATCAGTTTTTTCTATTTATTAAATATAACATAAATATATATTATAGTAATATTATTTTGATTTTAATGAAACTCACGGAAAATTATTTATGTACGGAGAAAAATAATTTTGCTCTTTTAGCAAA